ACTTTCTTCTCAATATTCATCGCCAACATCTGGCAACGGAAGGACAGACTCTTGGTCTTCTCGATCACCTGCTGGTACGGTGACACCGCGTTGTTGCCCATCACCACGTGACCCTGGGAAACAGTTGGTTTGTTTTTAAATCCTACGTCTAAAAAAGAAGAGCCCGAGGCAGCGACTTCACCTGGTAAATCATAATGAGGAATAACGAGGAATTTGATTGGCCTATTCAAGTCTGACACACAAAGGAATCCTGTATAAAACATTAGTCACACCGTGGCCACTGTTTACGCTCCCGTCACTCATCTGAAACGGTAAACACCGAGCCTCACCAGTTTGGAGTCGATCTTAGCGTCGAGCCGGGCGTTTCGGATGAGGTTGACGATCCACCGCTCTGCCTCCTCAGGCGTCATGTTGAGCTTGTCTGCCAGCATGCTGCGAAGAAAGAGCAGCCGCAGGAAGGAGAGAGGCTTTTATTATGTGGTAAATACGAATGAGAAAATGTGGAACCAGTAAGAAAAGAGAATAAAATGTCTGAGGAGAACAAAACATCTAAGCAGCAGCAGAAGAATATTCTGACGTCTGGAAATAAATAAAACACCAGAATACGACCAACCCTACGACAGCCGTGCTGTGATTTCCCTGAGAAGGCTTTAAAAATATTCATTTCATTCTTTTAGTTTTCTTTGTAAAGTACAGTAGTTTTTCACTTCCTAACGTTTACAAGGCTTTTTTTAAGATCGTGCACCTGATGCTGATGCACTGATGAATCCGACAGAAGGTCTCAAAGATGAAGAGTCGAGCGTTCTCGATGAAGTCCTCCAGACAGGCCACCAGGAAGAAGTCGTTTACCAGAACCTGGATCAAACACAAATCTGATTATTTGGTTGGTTTTTTTTTTTTTTGGACTAGCGGTCAGAACCAGGTCAACCATCTCCACCAGTACCAGTAACAGTTCCCAGTAAACAGCTGCAGCTGTATTTAGCCGCTTTCACACTGATTTACAGGAACGATAACGCCGTCAGAACGGACTGCGTTATATAATGGAACCACAACCAGATGTGAGTCAACAGTTTTTAAACAGATGGTTTATTTTAGCCACAGTGGTCAAGACACACAGGCCCAGAAAGAACAAGGACTCAATGGACTGACTGTAGAAAAGCCTCACATTATGAACAGTTTTCACTGACGATGACGGTGAAGATGATTTGTCCAGAACTTTCTGGGTTTCTTAAAACCATTTTCACATTGTTGTTTCACATCTTTTTTTCAAAGTAAAGGTAAAAAACTGTTCTCCTCACCGACTCACACTCCCTCAGCTTCCTTTGTGCGCTGTCAAAGTCAAAGTTCACGTAGAGACACTCCACAAATTCTGTGATCGGGTCTTTGTACGTGTACGACTCCTGCAGGAGGAAAAAAACAAAACAAACGTGACGATTCACGGACTGATGTCGTCACAGCGACCGTCTCCAGACAAACTCCTCTGTTTTTACCTGTTGAATGACTTTCACCAAGTCCTTCAGCACTTGTCGTCTCTTTCGTACGTCTTTGTTGGTGATGACTGCAGTCGTGAGGTATCGCAGGATGTGTGGGCACATTGTCTGGATGGCATTCAGGTACCTGAGGAGAAAAAACAAAGAAAGAAAATCACATTGTCATCCAGTCAGAATCAGGTCAGAACCCATTTGATCCTTCAGTTTAATTCAGCTGAAGAAAAACTCAGTGACAAGTGACAGAAAGCCAGTCTCTCACTCATATACTGCGTGTCCTTGATGAACAAAGAGGATTCAGTCTGAAAGAGTCGTGTATTTCCTGCCTACACAGGAAGTTACTGCACTTCCTGAACTGACTTCACAATAAATGGCTGATAATTAAG